TGTATGCAACAATAAAAAGTGACGATATTTTTCAGAGGTAAGCACTTCTTTTAAACAAATTGGTCCTAAATAAAGTAAGAAATTTCTAAACTCTGTGGCTTTCCAATGTTTAACCTCCGATAGACTTCTTGGTTTACGCGAGAAATGCGATGGAATACGATTGCGAAACAATAGTAATCTATCTGAAATAATTCTAATTTGCTTTTGTGATAGTCTGTGGGGAATTTGCCCTTCTGACCACAATAGTAGAAGCTTTTTCATGAACCCAAGACAACATAAATGCATATAATCGAGGGGGATTTGGCTAATCATTTTAATCCCAACTTTGACAAACGGAGAAATTTTATTTACCTCGTGATGGTGTATGTGTGATTTGTTCTTTAAACTTTCATCTGTATGAATAGGATAAGTTTGTTCTGTGGGATAAATAACTCTTCCCGAAAATTCTCCTTTGCAATAGCATCTTTCACAAGAATAGTATCCATTGTGATTTTTAATTTGCTTTAAAAATGCCCGCGCATGTGCATCTGCTATAATCGCTTTTAAGATAAATTTAAAATTTTTATCACCCACGTTAACTCCATTTTTGCTCAAAATTTCGAGCTCATTTACCAAAGGGCCAAGAAAATCGTCAATGGATTGAGGTTTTTTATACCCACAAAACAAACTATAAAAATATGGCCATTCCACAAACGGTCATTTAGTTTACACAAAATTGGCCAAAATTGCAAATTGGAACTTTTACTAACCGGTATTCCATCTATTCCTAAACTAACTTCTACTTTCCTCATATTTATTTGGCCAAATTGTTTATCATTTAAAATCCTAACTAACCCTTTTTCTAAGCCAAAGTGATAAAATTGGCCTCCATCGACATTTTCCAACCTAACATCTCGCTGAGTTTGTAGTAATGTTCTTGGATCCATGGGAAAACCACAAGTAGGTAACCATTGGCGACATATTTCTAATAAATCTTTTATAGCAGGGTGGGTAATATTGTGTGTTACTGCCCAGTTTCTAAGGGATAATACGTAGTCAGGTTTGCAAATATTATCCATATCATTGTGCAATTCAAAATTACTTTCATCACTACTAAAGGGTGGGCTTAAAGTTTCTGAAAAAAAATTAACTTCAAAACATAAGTAGTCAAAACTTTTTATTGCGTGTATAGAATATTATAATTTTTTGTACGATTATTAACTAATATTTAGAGTGTCCGCCACCAGCTTCCAACATTTGTTCAATGCGTGAATTGAATGACTGTGCCAAATTTTCCAAAACGGTAACCGGAATGCTTTCCCACTCATGTTGAAATCTTCTGAATAGCTCAGCGGTTGTGGTTGGATATGGCGGTTTGTACGCAGAATCCTTAACAATGGACCATAAATTCTCCAGAGGATTCAAATCTGGTGAATTTCCGGGCCACACCCCTTTCCCCCACACTGTCAAAGGGAGCGCCTCCAAAACTTTGGTGGTCACTTTTGCAGTGTGTGCTGGTGCTCCATCTTGCTGAAAGGTGACCTTCTGTTGTTGGGGGAATAAAGTTGGGTCCTTCATGGATTTAATGTAAAGTGGGAGGATCTTGTCTTTGTAGTATGCAGCGTTTACGGTACCTCCACTTATCATATGCAGCTTTGTAACTCCTTGAGCACAGAAGCCACCAGCTACCATAACTTTTAGACCATGTTTTGGGGTCAATATTTTCGGGATTTTTTTCGGATCAGCTGTATAGTATCTTTGATTTTGTCTGTTACCAGTTGGTGACACCTCCAGCCAGGTTTCATCCGTAAAAAGAATGTGAGAGCGTTTCTGCTGCGCCCGTCTGTCGTCACCCAAATATCCCGTTCTCTTGACTGTTTCGCCGAATTTTAATCGGTCCTGAATATTTTTTTGAGTCAGAATCTGTTTCTTAGGTCTTTTGTAAGCCGTTTTGCCCCATTTTTGCTTTTTTACGTAATTTCGAACCGCAGCACGACTTATTTTCTTCCCCTTCTTTTGATACCTCGCCGACTCGTTCAGCTTCTTTAGTGTTTTCCTCACGGATCCACCAATTTTCTCCTTCAAATTTCTTGTTATTTGCGATTTTGAAGTAGGGGAGAGTGCTGTGGGTCGGCCTGACCTTTTTTTGTCCACCACGGTACGGCGACCTTCCCACAGTTTGACCGTATTGTAAGCAACTCCTAGTTTCCTCGAAATTTGGGAGGCACCATATCCCTCGCTCAATAGAGTTTGAATCTGCACCCTTTTCTCTTCTCGACTCCTCATATTGTTGGACTACAAGGGGAAAAAAGCTTTGTTTACATGACTCTGCTGGTTTCCGAATAATATTGATTTTTATGAGGCGAGCTCACCTGATTTCACTCTTTTCAGAAACTTTAAGCCCACCCTTTACTATTACTACACAAATTTAATTTGAGATAAATTTACAATATTATCATTTGAATAAAGTTCAGTATCACTAAGATTATTGTTTCTTACAAATGGGAGTGTTTCGAAATTGGGTGAAGATTGTGGTAAATTTGTAGTTGGAGGTTCGTTTCTAATCTGACTCAGCATTTGACTCAGCCTCCTCTGGACCCTTGAGTGTTTTGTCGACCTTGGCGCTTCCATTTTTCGCCTTCGAAAGTTTCTGCTTTCCTCCGTCTCCCCTGTTGATAGAGTCCCGAAGCCACTTAGCAATGAATGAATCTAATTTGCTGTCAACTAAATCTGACTTGATTTTTTCTGTTACCACATTGCCATCCTTGTAGTAGAACTCGCGGACGGAATCTATAAATTAAAGTTTTGCACATAGAAATTTTACACAATAATAAAGAATTTGAGTTGTACCTTTTACTAATTTGCAGCACCGAGTTCCACCAAATGACACCTTCTTAGAGGAATCTGTAAACCTCAAAATAAGTGCAAACTCGTGCTTAATAATTGCCTTTAGTGTATTATTAACAGCGAGCGTCACCGAATCCCCTCCAAGTCGTGAGAAAAATTGAATCTAAAATATATATTTAGGAGCCAGAATCAATATCATATTTCCCGCACAATTAAATTATAAAAATTTTATTTTTAATTACTTCGTGATCAGGTATTGTGTCGTCTGCAAGAGTCGTGTTCACTTCCTGTAATTGGTCTTCGTTTTTAATCAGCCAGGCGATCTTACTTGACCGTAACTTGGAGGAGGAGCTGAGAGAGCGTAATAAAATTGTTTTCAGGTCCTTTATCTCTTCCTGCAAAACCAGTTGGTTTTGTAGAGAAGCCACCTGAAATGCTAAAGTGAAAAATTGGTAATTAATTATAATATTTATTTATGCGATGTCTCAGAAATTACGATAAAAATAATATACCCCGAAATTCCTCAATTAGTGTGGAGAGGCGCTCGTCATTATTAATTGTGATAGGGATGGGTTGAATTGCTTGATCCACTGTGTTTATCTCTTCACTGCCTAGAAATATTGACCGAATTCTCCAAATATATAATTTTAGTTTATCAAATTCTTAAAAAATCATGTACATACCTTCCACATTCTCTTGTTCCGTAGATTGTGAATATCCAGCACCAATCTCCAGGTCGCTACTGTCAATATAATTAGGTTTCAAATGCTTCTTGGCTTTTTTATCCGCACGACTAAAACTATCTGCAAATAATTACAAGGGACTTCAATTATATTGACTTATCACGTTTACTTGGGAAATATTTATAAACAAATATTACCAGAGCTGGTCTTGACAATGATGTCCCAACTCGTCCATAAAGGGTCCGGTCGTGAGTTAGGATCTTCTTGTAGTTTCTTGAAACCTTTAGGTGTGTTGGATGAAAATGTACACTTTTTATTGTCGTCGGACAGCCAAGTTTTTGGAACAACCTCAATAGTCTGGTCAGCAGGAAATTCAACGACATAAAATTGTTTTAACATTTTATCCGACATGGGGAAATAAATGTGTCAATGAAAATGTTATTTTATGTGATGCTGCAACACATGAAATACAAAAGTGGCGGTGGCTTCTCACGTACAGGCACTGCTGAGATAGTGAGGATGTGGTGATGACTATGAATACCGACGCAGCATTGATTTTTCGGTACCCGCAAGGTGTTAGTCAAGCAGGTGGTGCCAAACAGGTGCCAAAAGCCGCAGGTGGTCAAGCAGGCCATGACCAAAAAGATTTTGGCAGGCAAAAGCGAAACCCTGGTTACATATCACCATTGCAAAATTGATCGTTTTCGTGCAAAATATGTACGCATTAATCCCCCTGGTTCTCTGCTGGTCTTGTCTTGCACGTTTTGTCCGATTGGATTTGATTTGCCTTTATTTAAGTGTTATCAGCATTCAGTTGACAAAACTGGTTTACAAGCAGTAACACTATGTTAAAATATAATTTAAGGGGAAGAATAAAGTAAAAAGTTAGTTAAAGATTTACATAAATGTTGTTACGCTGTTCGATTAAGTAATCCTTACATTTAGTTACAAATTTGGAGAGTGACATATAAATAATATATGCCGATCTGCCACCACTGCTAAACAGAGACAACGTTACGATATGAAGTGCTAGGAAAATGATTGCAATATTATTTTGATCAGAATATGCTGTGATTTGTAGAAAATTTGGTGCAAGTTGGGTCGCATGATTCATGAATAAAAATTATTGACTAAAGTCTTAATTTTTTGTCAATCACAAAACAAATAAATTAAATACGCTCCGACATAAAATGGCAGACTGGGTTATTTTATGTTGCGTTTGTGAATTGATGGATGCATTTTGGATAATGCTAAAATTCGTAATTTTGCCTTACAACGAATTCTGTCAGTATCATACCTTGATGTTTTTCTGACGGGATAGATATTGACAAAATTCGTTGTAAGGCAAAATTAAACTGTTTGGTTATGATTACCCAAGATGGGTTAGGATCACAACTATTTCCTCCAATAATGAATCCCCATTCATATTTGGAAATCCAGGGGAAGCGAGTGTATTGGAAATCAAAACGGATGAAAAATAAACAAACAGAATTCCAATTGATTGGGCATTTATTACAATGATGGCAGAAATTGGATTGAAACAGGCGTTGTGCTCAATAAAAATCTACAAGTTCACGGATTGTGTTGTTGAACAAAAATTGATAATAATAACTGAATGGATTTCCTTGGCTGAGGATTGTGTGCGGAGAAATTATTAGCAATGATTTCTTTCAGTTCCACATCTAACAACTTTTAGATTTTTGTAGTCAGCATTCATCTTGGTACTGGGCGGAAGGGCACCGTATTGTGAGGACCAAGGGCTCTGTCGGGTGAAGGACCAGGTTAAAGGACAGGGTGGAGGTCAAAAGGTCATTTAAGGGTGGGTAGAAATTCCAGTGCCAATTCTGTATTAATCCTCAGAACCCCCGGAAGCTGTCAACATCCCAATCAACTTTTGCGTATCTATTTGACCACCCTCGATATTCATTTGGGAAAAGGCGTCCTCGACATCTTTGTCCGTAAATTTCATGCCAAATGTCGTCAAGGCTTTGCGAAGTCTGAAAACAAATAAAACTTTCACTTGTCCAGGATTGCACAAGTATTGCAATGATTTTCAAGTCATGGATTTATACAGGGTGGTGCAAAAAGGATGTTACACGGCAAAATTTCTTCAGGCGTATTTGCCATTCATATCCATGTAAAAATTAATTGAATTGTATCCAGTTTGACAGAAAAGTGGTAGTGTTTCAATGTCTTGCCGAGGAAGACTTTAATTTTCATTTCCCTGTATGGTAAACCTGAATATATGCGGAGACGTTTTTTGAACATTTTATGCCTACTTTTTTGCCAAGAAAACTTTTTGCATCACTATGAATTTCCTGTATGATATTGAAATTCAATGATTCTACTAATTTTTGCCTAGATTTTAATGAAACTAATGGCAATAAGTAAAAATACGCCTGGAGAAATTTTGCTTTGTAGCATACTTTTTGAACCACCTTGTACGTACACACCAAAAAATACTGAGTAAAATTGGAATGGATACAACAAGTTGAGTAAAAATTAGCCAATGCTGTACAAATTTTACTCAAGGTTGTATAAATTTTATCTAGACTTGGGTAAATTTTAGCCAACTTGTTGTATCCATTCCAATTTTACTCAACTATGAGTAAAATTTGTACAATATTTTTTAGAGTGTATACATATTTACTCACTTGTCTGCCGGAATCTTTCCTCCTTCGTCGAACGTTTTAAAAGCAGCGATGACCACATCGTCCTCATCTGCACTGCCAGACATCCGTGCCGCAAAGAGGGTCAACAACCCACCGAAATTTATTGGGGCAGGGGAGTCATTCACAAGTGCTTCCAATTCCGAGTCTGACACGGATTTCCCTAAATCATCAAATGTCGCTTTGAGATCTCCCTTCCCAATTATGCCGTCCTTGTCATGGTCCATCATTTGAAAAGCCTGAATTAATTGGAATAATGAATTGTTTATAAATTTCCAGGAATATTTTAGCCTAAAAATATAAACAACTGACCTCCTTGAACTCTGCAATTTGCCTTTGAGAAAAAGCCGAGAAGACATTGCTCACTTTCTTTTCTGCCTTCTTGGAGTCTTTTTTCGAACCTCCGGGAGATGCCGCGGCTAGCAATTGGTAAACAATTTCATAATTTTAACCATAAATTCTCGCCTCAAATCTCGCCTCAAAGTTTTAAATAAAAAAAATTTAACATACCATCTCCTTTCTTAGACTTTTTTTTATCGTCAGCCTGAAATTGATTTAATATTTGTAAACAAGTATTAATTATTTTTTTTTATTTTAGTCGTGACATAAAAGTTGATTAGTTTTAGACATCTATTTTTAGATATATCTCTCAAACCAGATAAATTGAAAAGAAACGTGTGGGATAAGAACTTTTCAGACTACCCAATTTAGTAGATCAAAATTGTACCTATAGTTACAGCAAGCAACACACGGATCCAAATAAAATACTAAAATATGACACGTATTTGTTGCCGGAATGCTAAATTATCTAACTTGTTGTCAAACATGCATACGCGTAATTATAAAGTTTGATATTTCACCAAATTATTTTAATTAAATATGTTAGTACTCTGATCTTTGAAATTTTAAAGTTTGCTTTGACATGGACAAAAATGAATTGAGTAGTCCATTTTATACATAAATCAAGTTACAAGTATTATTCTCAACATAATAGAAATTGAAATAATATGGTGTTAAATATTGCATAAGATAAAATAATCCCGAAAACTTACCATTCCGTTGTGTGGATGGAATGGCTTAATTAAAAATAATCATTCTCAAACCTCTACAAGAGATCGAAGAATTGGAGGTTGATGAAAAGACTGAGCCAGAATCAGAAAGAATAAAGGAAAGTGGATTGTATAAAAGAAGCAGAATTTATTTTGGGATCCTAAAAATCCGCAAATCCATGCAATGCCAAGTCCGATGTAACCATTGTTCTTTGGATATGTGTTCACTTAATGGAATTTAAGAGAACATCCATTTGCGAGAAAGTGATTAACTAACTCATTGTACAGTAGCGGAGGAGGTTGGGGGACATCAGTATTGTAAGATAGGGGAGGGTGGGGTTTAGATAACATGGGCAGATTCGGGAGACATAGAAAAGCTGGGGGGATATTGTCCCCCAGTTCCACCGCAACTGAACTCAGACATTTTTACTGGGTATTCCGATCCCAGGTTTTTTTAATGATTGGTTTTGGGTTTTTTCCGGGTTTTTTATGAGTTTGTTTTAACAAAGGCAGCATTTTTGATAAGCTTTTAACAAGTATATTGCGGAATCTCTGACTATCTCGTCACCGCTTAAGATTTGCAAACAGTATGAGATGACATATCTTGGTTTAAGGAAAACTTGTATAAAACCTGATGTGAAACATCAGGTTTCAGAAGAATTCTGCATAATGAATTATTATACGATCCACATCAAAGATATACGGTATGCGTTAGAATCCTACGTTTTAACGAAATATGAAAATTTGAACTATGAAAAAAACCCAATAAAACCCGCAAAAAAACCAAGCAGCCCAGTTTAACATTGAGGTTTATAAAAAAAACCTGCTGGGTAGTATATTTTTGAAAAAAAACCGGTGTTTTTTCAAACCCTGATTCTAACACGGATTAATCTATCATTTGAAAGAATCCTTCATTTTTTGGTGATTTTGTATTTTTTCATATAAATATGGTGAACTGAGGAACTAGTACGCTGTGTAAGAAATTATCTGGGCGAAAGATGAACTTTGAAAATATTTATGTTTGTAAATGAAGCTGAGTATGTAACTAATGTCGGTTAACTTGCCGGTCACCGCCTTACGGGATAGTGAAAACGTTATGCAAACATCAATAAGCACCCAGAGAAGGTTGCAATGTCCTCATGAAGTACAAATATGTAGAATGATTTTGTTAAGTAGCGAAAACTACTTTATATGAATGCTCCGTCTGTCTGGCTGACTGTCTGTCCGTTATTAAGCTTACATAAGCCCCAATCCTTAAAAAGTGGAACTCTGACTTCAAGTTGTCCTGAAATATCGTGTTTTTCCGACTCCGGTTGAAATCTCAAAACATTGTACTTGTGCATTGTGTGAATTAAGACGACATGAAAAAATCCCTAAATGAATCCACTCCACCAATAAACGGATCAATCTCAAATAACTTATCCTACACAGTGTTCTGCGAGCCAAAATTAGATTATGCACCGATCCAAAATATCAAGATCCCTTCTTTTCCCAAATACCTATAACTGTTGAGACAAACTGAATTCCATCCTCTTGTAAGTCTGTCTGGGGTTTTGTTCAATTCTGCAATTTTCTGGTTTGATGAAAGTTTAGTAGTGCGTACCAAGAGCACTCATTAGTAGCAATAAAACTAAACTCGCACAATATGTAAAAGAAAAATAGATTTCTACCAAATTTATGTACATACATAACCTACCGATAATTTATTTTACAATATGCTAAACAAAGCTCAATGTTGGAGTATAAATTTGTATTTGGTAATTTAAAAATATGCAGATAAATATGTACATACCTATAAATAGAATTCCTTGATGCCAAACTAATGTATTCATACATGCGTACTATGTTACTACACTGCAACAAATATTAATAAAACACGGTGTAAATCTGTGGCTGCACCATAATGGTGTCAAATTGTCACCGGCTTGTGGTAAACTTACACCACATGGTGGTAAATTTACCCAACCTGGTAGCTAATGTCACCGGCTGGTGACAATCAGTCTCACCAGCGGTGACAAACATCTACGTCATGCCGGTGTAGCCACGTATTTACACCGTTGGTGTTAAAATTTACACCATTGGTGTTAAAATTTACACCAAATTTTTTGCAGTGTAGTTAAGCCAAGTGTCGCAATATCTACTGCGGATCACGTACATGGCCAAATGGAATAATTTGTGTAGGGATTTATACATACTGAAAATGTAGCCTTTAGAAAGTAATTAAGTATGCACTATAAAACAAAAATGGATCACCCCTTCTTAGAAAACATTTATATAATCGCATCTCGAACGCGGGATGGAATTTCCAAAAAAAATTTGCGTATTACATGTTTGCTCTTATGATGTCCCATTTTTTTGAAAAAGTTACGATTGATTGAAAAAACTGCAGTGTTTACAAAATTAAAAGAGTACAAAATTACAAAGTGATGCATAAATGTGTCACCACTTGGAATTTTAAATTCACAGATGGTCTGGGTCACCTCTCTATTTATTTGCAATATTATATTATTGTGATCGCAAAAGCACGGTTAAATCAATTCTAAATAAATTAACAATCCTCATAAATCTAATCACAAATCTGTGTTCGCTTCACTGAACTGCAATATCCGAATTCGTATACGGATATTGTGTCAATGCACAATTATAGCTCTTAAACCGAGGTCTACAAAAATTTTTTAAAATACTTGAGTTACTTTGCAACTCAAAACTCCTAGTGCTCGACCTGTAAAGTTGTCGACGCCCAGACTCAAAAATCGGATAAAAGAAATTTCAAAAATAATCCGTCAAATAAAGTTAAGATTTCCAAAATCCACCTGAGCAAAATCAAGGTCCATAAACTTTGGATTATAGCCAGTACAAAAAAACCAACACCAAATGAGAGAATTTAGGTGTGCTTCAAGAAATTTTTAAAGAAAATGTAAACATTTCAAAATTTCAAACACTGATGGAAGAAAATGAGTACGGAAGTGGGGGAAGTCTCCGGAAAAAAATTAATGTAAAATCTCAAGAAAAAGATAGAATGGTTAGCAGAAGGGTGAATTAAATCATTATACATTTAATTGTATTTTATACTAGACTTCTCGGTAATAAACATTAATTTTAAATATTAAATATTACATTAAACATTATTTGAAAAGCTATGAGCATTTTTATTTCGCATTGCGATACCCTAGTGGACGTTCCTTAATCGCCAGAAACGAAACAAGTTGAAGAAGATGAAGGAATGAATGACCGATGGTGGTGTCAAGTTCATTCATCTAATTTGTCTCCAGACTTTCACTTTTATGCATCTACATAATAATCTTTTGTAGTATTTATATTTGTGATTTATTGTACAGTATTTGTAATATGATTTTGGTGATTCGGACTGATGCGCATTAAATCAAGCCATAGTGACCATGACTGAAGCTTTTTTGCTAGTTCATGAATTTAGCTAAAATTAGAAATGCACACATAACTTAACATTCTGTAGATTTGTGCAAAATATGAAACCGATCGGACGACCAGTCGGAAAATTTTTGTTTTCGCCTTGCAAACGACGGGGATTACCACTAAAACTTTTTTTATTGCTCAACGGCTTTGGCTAATCTTCGAAGTTGATTCTTAATTTCGCACGTGTACAAAATCTCAAGTCGATTAGAACAGTTTTACTCGAGTTATTTCAAGACGGACGGACGGACGGATGGACAACAGGGGTACCTAAGCCCAGAGCCAGGCTAAAACAATATCCGACAGCACATTGGATCGGAATACTTAAATGGAAAAATGAAGTGCCTTAATTGTCAAAACAATAAACCAAGGAGGAAACACCTTACTCCAATTTATTAATTTCAAAGCAGTTTTATTTTCACAGCTTCCAATTCATTGCACCCTCATCAAGAAATCTTCCCCGCGGATGAGTCCAGTAATTTATACCTCATTTCCAGTGAATCGTACTCCGCACTTTCTTCAACTGAGGTTTAATACTGAAATTGTGAATACGAAATTGTCATTATTTGGAATGCCGGAAAAACATGGACGGATTTTGATTTATGTATATCAGCTCACAATTTTCCTCTCATCTCGTCCAAATCCAGTCGTAAATTATTAACCTGGGAAATTTACAATTTTAGTGGACTATGTATGAAAGTACTTAGAGTTTGCGAGGAGTTACGCATTACCTTCATATCTTTAAGAGCCAAACCATAGTCCAAGTCATACAGATCTTCCTCCAGCCTAGAAATCCGGTTGTGATACACTCCACGTCAAAAGCATAACCTCACCCGACGACTTAGTCATATCTCATGAACCCCTAAACAGATTTTGGTCAAATAAAGTTTATTTAGTAACCCCTGCAATTATGTTACGAGTAGGTTTAGTACAAACAATATATAACTTAAGGATGGGGCAATATGGGACAAAAATCAAAAGGTGATCATTTTCATCGCGTCAAAAACTTAACCTCACCTTAACATTTTTTAGTTTCTCGCGATTATTTCCATTAGTTTTAGCAAATTTTATGTGAACACATTACATGGTAATATTTTGTTGTTGGTTAGACCATCCGGGTCTAACAAATATTTTTTGTAAAGGAGGTAACAGTAGATTCTTCTATGATAAGTCTTAAATTTAAAAATGCGGAGATTAAAAGCTTGAAATTACTGAAATACAATTTTATTTAGAAGAACCTGATGTGGGACAACTGTTGACAACAATTACATCCCAAAAGCGGGAGCGTGTTAGCGAAAATAGCGAATTTGTCTTCTTTCTATTCTCAACTACCCCAAACAAAATGTACAATATCTACTGTGGCAGCAATACATGCCTTGTTAACATAAGTTTTTGGCTATTACTAGGGTAATAGGATGCCTGAGGCTATACTAACATGCTTTGAAAGAGTGTGATATTTTTTTGTTAGAAGTATACCGTGGGAAATCATCGTTGACCAACCGCTACCAAACATAAGGATTAGTGTGTGCTTACTACAATTTCTTTCTGGCTATGTATGAATGTGGAACTGCTCCGTAATTTCGTATTGAACTTCATTGCATCATGGGAATATATTTCCTAATGACATAAAAATTAGAGCAGGTTCGTCTAGGGGAAATGCAGATGGTGCGTCTTAGTGGTTTCCACTCAACGATGGTTTATTACAATATTCTTCAAACAAAAAAATTGGACAATCATTAAAAGTGCGCTAAATGAACCCAAGACATCCAATGACCTTCGTAATGGCCCAGAATTTGTGTTTAGATAACATTTGGTACGACCAAATTAGATATTGTACATTTATTTAGGGACATTGAACACGGAAGAAGACAAATTAGCTAATTTCGCTAAAGCGTTCTCTCTTTTTGGATCCTATTCTTGTCATCAGTTGTTACACATCAATTTCTTCTAAATAAAATTGTATTTCAGTAATTTCAAGCTTTTAATCTCCGCATTTTTAAATTTAAGACTTATCATAGAAGAATCTACTGTTACCTCTTTTACTGAAAATATTGATTAGACCCGGATGGTCTAACCAGCAACAAAATATTACCGTAATGTAATATGTTCACATAAAATTTGCTAAAACTAATGGAAATAATCGCGAGAAACCCAAAAATTTTAAGGTGAGGTTAAGTTTTTGACGCGATGAAAATGATCACGTTTTGATTTTTGTCCCATATTGCCCCATCCTTAAGTTATATATTGTTTGTGCTAAACCCACTCGTAATATAATTGCAGGGGTTACTAAATAAACTTTATTTGACCAAAATCGGTTAAGGGGTTCATGAGATATGACTAAGTCGTGAGGTGAGGTTATGCTTTTGACGTGGAGTGTACACTTGTGTAAGTCGTATGGCCTCCTCTGCATATACAATGTGGCTGAGATTACGGTCGATTCATTAAAATTAGAACCTTTTTTGAAGCATTTTCTCTAACATTCTGACCCAAATCTCTAAGAGTTGTGGTCGTATTGTAAAAATCAGAAAATAATAATTTTTTTCCCATAGTTCAAAGTTTTCAGAATCGTTTAAATTTCTGAAATCCTTCAAAGATTGGTCGATGTGTGGTAATTTGAATTTTCAATAAACTCAGAAAATGATTCTAATTTTAATGAATCAACCATAATTTTTACGAGAGGAATTGAAAATTCTTAAAATGATATTTTGGTAAAAAGACTTCAAGAAATATAAATTTCCTACCTTGGGTTGTTATTAAATTAGTATCTGACCAAGGGCCACACCTATCCTTAATCGTTTTCTCTCTGATCTGCATATTCTTCTTGCGCTCCTCCTCAAAATTGAAACGCTGTCTTTGAAATTGTACCCATGCTTTGAGATTTTGTCTCCTTCTTTTTGTATGCACAAATCCCTTTGCTCTTCTGGCTTTTCGTTCCGCTTTCCTATCCAACATTTTTTGACGTATTTCCATTGCTCGTGTCTATAAAGAACGGTGGTGACGGTAGGATATTTGTATAAAGGGAGATATCAGGGAGGGAATATTGTTAAAGGGGAACAAGTCCAAATTCAATAAAACTTACGGAATCCATACCCACGACCTGGATCCTGTTTTACTTTGAGATTATTCCGGTTGGAAATTTTATGATGAAAAAATTGAGTCACTGTGAAATTCGTGGCACAAATGGATAGAAAGCGTATCCAAAATATTATTGTGCTGAGAGCAGTATTTGAGAGCCCCACTAACTACGAATATTGTGGAGAAGGAGTGTTTTTAAATTTAGCAAATATGTATTTCCGTCAGACACGGATGATTGATTTCTCCAAAGAGTTAATACGTCATTGTTTGCTTGAGTGAGTTGGTGTGAATGCATATACCTGGCACGGAGAGGATATACAGTACAGTTAAGTGAAGAAGGAAGGAAAAATGTGTTACATTATATCCTTCCTGGAGCTCATATTCCTATTTAATTAAGGAGGCAGTACAGTTTTTCTTCGGCGAGGGGAGAGCCGCACTCACAGAAATTGGGTGATGATTACCACCAGAAATGAGGCGTATATCGTCGTACTAATTCAGAAACAAGCTATCTAGTTGTGGGACAGTGGAAATTTTTAACACGCACAATATGCATCCTTTCCGTGTTAAAAATTTCCACTGTCCCACAAGTAGATAGCTTGTTTCTGAATTAGTACGACGATATGACTCTACCGCCATGGTGATACAGTTTCTTACCGATTGGTTATAAATTTGGAACAGATTGGTTATAAATACAACCAATTTGGTTACAATAATAAACAATGTGGTTCTGATACATAATAACCAATTTTAATAATATTTCTGTGAGTGCGGAAAGCGGAGCACAGCACCAAAAAAATGAATATGCTCAGTTGGGGCCCGGCGTAGCCGATGTATCCTTTTACACCCACGTCCTCAAAAACTCTGAAATTTGAAACTCCAAAATTCTGACGGCGAAACGATACTTTGGAAATAAAAATTGTAACGCTAAATAGTTATGGTAGATTTTTTTAAATTAGAACTATTTTTTTAGTGATGAAAACTCAACACATGAAAAATTCAAATTACTATTTCTCCGTCAATTTTTGCACGATTTCAAAAATGTAAACGGTGCTGGAAACTGCGAACCACCGAGAAAGTTTTAAAAATTTCAAATTTTACAAATACGACCACACCCCCTGGAAAATTAGGTCAGAAAAGGCGCCAAATGTTTTCTTGCAAATTTCAGCCGCATTACACGACACAAACTCATACCTAATGTCAAAAATCAGATAAAGCTTGGGTTATCTGAAACATTGTTGATCGGTCACCTGACACACCCCCTGGGGGTGTGACCGTCGGCGACTTTTCTAATCTAGGAGAACTTGGGCATGCGACATATCATTTTTTCGAGCAAGCTGAGAGGATTCCGATTGGGCTTTCAGAATTTACAAACCCCACCCCCAGGGGGTGTGGTCATCGGCGACTTTTCCAACATGAGTAACTCCTGGCATGCGACATATCGTTTTTTCGACAACAGTGAGGGGATTCTGACGGTGCTTTCGAAATTTACAAACCCCACCCCCAGGGGGTGTGGTTATCGGCGACCTTTCCCATACATGTAAAACCAACCATGCTTGACATCATGTCAGTCGGAATAATAAGTCGATTCACATCAATAATCAGAAATTCGTAAACTAAATATGGAATATAAATTTAGGAAACCATGGTGACCAAAAACGTTCTGATGTAATTACTGGATTTTATGCAAAATTATTTTTACTGAAATTGTTTACGAATTAGCACAAGCAAATATGAAAACAAGAATATGATAATTGTAATAATAAAATTCATAACTGTAAAAACATTTTTATGTTTTATTTTATAACTCCAAACTATTCAAAAATTAAACAAGCTCCAAACTCATACATATGAGGTATGAACTTGAAATTTAACCGACTAATAAGTTTCTTCTTCCGTCTCAGCTTCTCCGTCCGCACTGTTTATAATTAATTATTATAAAATTAGAACAAACTATCTCAATCTACATATGTAATCAAATAATCAAATTCTTGATTACCGTACGATATGTCGAGTATAGACAGCAATATTGCAAAATGAGTTCGTTATTGCACTGTAGTTTTTAATATCAAACGTCTACTAAATGGACATAAATGTGTAGATAGTACATAGTCCGGTAGATTATACTACAAAAAATATGAGTTATTAATTAAAAATTTTAATACAAAATCTAAAATAACAAAAAAGTTCATTTAGACATGTTTATTAAAAAATCTAATTAAAATCACCTATAATCATACGGCCACCTCGATAACCTCACCATGTGTGCGGTGCCCAAATCTAAAATAACTGTTGAGGAACACCATCCCATCACGAAATTGATTAGCATATTGAATTTCTTACTTTTTGGAAAAGTCGCCGATGACCACACCCCCTGGGGGTGGGGTTTGGAAGTTCTGAAAGGCCAATCGGATTCCCCTGATTGTGCTCGAAAAAACGATATATCGCATGCGTGGAGTTACTCATGCTGGAAAAGTAGCTGATGACCACACCTCCTGCGGGTGGGGTTTGTAAATTCTGAAAGGCCAATCGGAATCCTCTCAGCTTGCTCGAAAAAATGATATGTCGCATGCCCAAGTTCTCCTAGATTAGAAAAGTCGCCGACGGTCACACCCCCAGGGGGTGTGTCAGGTGACCGATCAACAATGTTTCAGATAACCCAAGCTTTATCTGATTTTTGACATTAGGTATGAGTTTGTGTCGTGTAATGCGGCTGAAGTTTGCAAGAAAACATTTGGCGCCTTTTCTGACCTAATTTTCCAGGGGGTGTGGTCGTATTTGTAAAATTTGAAATTTTTAAAACTTTCTCGGTGGTTCGCAGTTTCCAGCACCGTTTACATTTTTGAAATCGTGCAAAAATTGACGGAGAAATAGTAATTTGAATTTTTCATGTGTTGAGTTTTCATCACTAAAAAAATAGTTCTAATTTAAAAAAATCTACCATAGAGAAGTCTCTAACTTTCCTTTGCCAGGGCGTTTTTAAATATTTGGATTTTGAAAATTTAATTTTCAGTCCTTCTGTTAGAACTTGAAATCGATTTGTTGATTTCAGCGTAAAATTTGAACTTTTGTATTGTACCTAAGAGTTTTTTTTTAGATTCTACAGCTGAAGATCAATATTTTTTGCACAATGTACCTTTACAATGACAGAGCTTAGAGTATTTTTTGAACACATGTATATTGCACAAAAATAAAACGAATAGGCTTGTAGATAGGCATCATCCATTGATACATATGTCAATGTATCCACGACCTTTAGATATGTATATATAACGGTCGCAGATACGTTTACCAGAACATGATTATATTCTGGTGGCTGTACTTTCCTTACAAAAAACATTTCTTTTACATTTTCATAAATTTTGAGTAATTACGATTCGGAAAGTATTTTATAACTACATGTAAGTATGTATGGAGACCGACATTTTTAACGGTCTGTGCACAGACCGTTAAGATTTTCTTTAAGTAATATTAACATTGACAAACTATAAAATAAATTTTTTGTGTGAAAAAAACACTCTTTGGCGAGGAAGTCTGAGACGCGGACAAATGAATAAAACAAGTCCTACACTATCTACAATAAGTCTTTATACGGTGACGTTTTTTAAAATACGATATCGAAGCGTTCACTTACACTCTCGAAGCTCTGCACACGTTTGGAACGTATCGTATGACCGTGTACAATTTTTTTGACGCCCACAGGAATTTTTCGCCAAAAAAAGTTTGAAGGGCTAAATTCGTGACCGTGGCGAAATTCAAAAATTTGAAATATACAAAAGCATATATCAAGTTTATGTATGCTTTTGTATATTTCATTTTTTTGAATTTCGCCACGGTCACGATTTTAGACTTTCAACCTGCTCATGGCGAAAAAGTCCTGTGGGCGTCAAAAAAATCGTACTTGGTCATACGATAGCTCATTTTTTTCTGAAGACTTGTAGCATCCTATAAAAAATACTAGAATGTTCAAAAAAAATTATCCATGAACTTTTATTTTTGGCACCTTGTTTTTTTTCTTGAAAAAATTCTGACCTTTGACCTGTCGATGACCTTAAAATTCGGCGACGCGGAATTAGGTCCCAATTAGTTGTTCCAAACGTGTGCAGAGTTTCGAGAGTGTAAGTGAACGCTTTGATATCGTATTTTAAAAAACGTCACCGTATAAAGACTTACTGTAGATTGTGTATATAGTACCAAGCCCTGGCTGTGGGACCACGGTGAGGCAAACTTTTAATAATGCCAATACTACAATTTTTGCATATTTTAAATTATCTCAATAATCTCCGATCTCATGCCAAATCAATAAATACAGTACTTATATAGTACTTAATTGATTCTTTTGTCAACGTCTTATATGTTCCTCACCGAAGAGTGTTTTTACACAAAAAAGACTTATCCGAGCCAGGATATTTGTAGTGTTTCCGTTCAGAACAAATGAAGCAGAGTAAGGGAAGTCATCAAGGCTGGATGGTGGATATTTTGGTGAAAACTTCATTACTGCCACGTCACTCAAGCAGTTGGCCATTCTTCTTAATTACCATGTCGTACTTTTCTGGTGGTTAGTCCAAAACTCAATCATCACCTCCAAAAGGCTTAATGCAAAGCATTTACAGGCTATGAAGTTGTTTCTCACAGCTATATTCAAAAAGTTAATTACTCTCTACTCACTCACGGAATGACGAGAAGTAAGCATTTTAGAATATGCGTAGTATTCCATTTCAGCTAATGCATTTAGATGACTAACATGTACTAAGTAAATTGCGCATCCACCGGATGAAAGTATTGACTTGATATATTAAAACTAATCGTAAACAAGACAAGGGGTCATCGAAGTCACGAAGACTGGCACATACCCATGAGATCATTTTACTTGAAATCATTTTATCCTTCAGTTTGATCATTGTACGTATTGATAAGAAATGTGTAGAGATTTTATATTTCTTTATACCCATTTTTCCCCACAAAATGTGATGACACTGTGTATTCACTACGAGATTGATTTAAGCCTCAATTGTGTGACGCGTTCCCGCGCATCTCACTCTTCCCCGGATGTCATGTATCCTTATGGACAACTTAAAACGGTTTCATCTCCTTTAATCTTAAGTGAAATTTAAATGTCATTGCTTTAAAAAAAACTATATGTTTGACTCTACAAATGTAATTAACTAGATTTTCGGAAAAAAATTCTTTCCACAAAGGTTTGAGGCATGTTATGGTATAGAATTTTTTTATTTTTTTTATTTTTTTCCCTATAGTAATTATAGGGAAACCTATAATTACAGTATATCTCAACCTCCCTATTGAGGTGACAAGATACAGGATTTTAAAAAGGTTCCTTTTCTAGTGTTGTTCTTCCCAAGGTTCTTCCCATTCGATCTTCGCCTCGATAAGGATGAAGGATGAAGATTTATTTTTGAGAGCTGTTTATCTGAGGAAAGGACTTTACGCACTCTTTTTCACAACAACTCTACTTTACCATGGCTCAAGGCAGACCAGTACAAATAAAATCGTTGCGACTTCCGTCGTCAGTGATTTGATGTGCTGTATAGCTGGCGACGCTCTGAAATTGCGACTTGTAGATAAGCCGGGGATTTTTGCTTAATCTTTTGTGTATACTTTAAATACTGCTGGGGAAAATGCAGTCACTGCACCTGCCCCCAATTTAAAGTTTTAAACATGTAGCTGTCTATTTTTATGTGTCACTTGTGGAAGATCATGGTTGTACTACTGTGAACTTGTTAGACACTTGAATAAGCATCAATCAATTAACCAATCAATAAATCAATCAAGCAGTGGCCGCGGAAGTTTTGTGGCATGTGTGGTGGAGAGCATGGTTGGCCGTGCTTATTACCATGGGGAGGACAGGCTGTGCTGAATTGGCGACGCATAATCGGCGACTTGGACCTCTGACTAGCATCATTTTGTGCAAATGGTTGCAAAACCAGAACCAAAATTATGTATATAAAAGAAATTAAATAATCCTCACAATCCTTTGAAGCAGTACGACTTGACCTCCCTCAAAAACGGCTGGTACGCTGTAAGATTGGGCTCCTTTGTTTTAAATTGAAACGCATTCCCTTCTGCGTCATACTCCGTGTAAAAGGTGACCTGAACGTATCCGAGAACAACGTAATGGACGGCAAAGACGTAAAGTAGTTGAAACAACATTGTGACAATGTTTTTGCGGAAAGTCGAGTGATTAAGTTAACGATAATTGAGTGTATTTTATACCAGATTTCGTCGTTCTTTTTGTCATTTGTCATTTCAATTAATTTATTACAAGCTGATTGATGTGCGGTTTTCCCGAATATGTTCTTACGATGCGTTTCACATACATAGTTATGGTTTGATATTGTGAAATGAAAAATAATTTGCTATGTTGTCTTCAAACATCACTTGAGGTACGAGATTCAACGTACATACTTTTACGTGTACTTAATTAAAAATATATAACACTTGATTAATTTAACATTCATTATATGTTCGGCCGAATTCTTGCTTGACAAACGAGATACGTAATGATAATTTTTTTTAGGGATGTATGTACAACGATTTTGACCTTCAAACCTCGCGAATTTCTCAAAACGAACATGCATTTGATTGTGTGGAATAAGGACGTGATGTTGTGATCCAAGATACATATATATAGTCTTATCAGTTCCGATTCTCTCCTGATGTGTACATACAAATTATTCTATACTGAAAGATGTGAAGTTTTAATTGCGCAACTGCGGCAGAAAATTATCAACAATTATATAAATTTTGCTGAAATTGTAATTAATTTATAGCCAAGTACATATGTATTGATATGTACATGTACATTTGAATCATTTTATTTCTTTCAAAAAATACATCTAAAAAACGTTATCGGCATCGAAATACTCGCTTTCATAGTTACAACCTTGTACGAAAGATCTTATCTCTCTGCTTGACACATTTATGCCTACGATAAACTCCGAGGTTGAAAAACAGGTTGAGTTTCCAGAAAAATCATCATAAATAAACCCTGTCCAACTCGATCGTCCAGTTATAGTCAGGTACTTCGGTACAAATCCAAAATTTGTGGCGGCTAATGTAGTAAAAGTTCGTTCGACTCCTGCCATGAAATCTCCACTTCCGCTGTAAATTGAAATGGAAGGTGCACTGGTCTCCGAAGGTCCCATGTAACGCAGTGACATTGTTGATAAGGAAAGTGAGTCATTCCAGCAATGTACCGTCCCATTGTAGGAAACAACATGGAGTGTAGTTGAGCCAGTGTAATTTGTTTGGGTGAATGCTACCCAACTATGTAAAATTAAAAAAATATTTTAATATGTACTTTATAATTTACAAAAGTCCGTCCCGTTAAGTTTTCCGAGACATTCCAGCATTCTGAATGGTTGTTGAGATTTTGTATTGGCCAATCGGAGAACTGGAATTGTTAGCCTGGCCCAGGGCTTATGGTACCGACCAGCAGTATAAGGCCAAAACGGCTAAAACGATGGACTTGAAACTTGTGCCAGATGCACTTGGGATAATGATGGGAACTTAGGTCGAAGATAAGCCAACTATATGTACTGGTTGGCCAGTGGGGGTCATTTGGACATATCAAAATTGATTGGCAAAAAACGACAAAAGTGTTGCTGTTTTTAAATAAAGTCATAACAGGTCTTTATTCATTAACTTGCAAAAAACGACGAAAGTTTTCCTGCTCCAAATTGCTATTAGAGAATTGGAAATTTCATATTGACTTGAATGTCGTTTTAATTCGAAAGATTTGTGATTTTGATGAACCCTACGAAGTACAGATTTTTTTTAAATCGTAAAAACAAATTGCTTAGTGACGTCAAAACAAATTGCTTCCCGATCAACAAAAGCTATCACTTTTACGCAAAAGTCATACAGTTAAATTGCAGCAACTGATGGCCGGCAAAAATCCGTGAAAAGATACTAGATATTTAACGTAAAATAAACTGTCAATATTGCATAGAATTGACAGTCATATTCATGCAATTTAGCCTCAAGAATATTGCGTAGAAATAACCGTCAAATTAATGCAATTTAGAGCGTAGAATATTGCGCAAAAGAAACGAATAATTTGATGCAAAACTTGCAGTTAAACTCCATGCAATTACTGCAGTCAAATAACACGAATTATTAATTTTTATCAAAATCATTTATTTCATAACAAAAATTATATTGTTACATTATACAAGGGAATGCAAATGTTTTCATCTATTTTATCCGACGGGAGTAACCAACATTTCTTATCAATATCATTAATACCTATTATGGTTACGCTATTTGATAATTTGCTAACTTTAATTATTCCTAAAATTTTACTTTCACACGGACAAGTGAACAAGTTGTCCGAGTGTTTGAATTTTCTACAATTTATATGTTTTTTATCTTTACTTATACTACTTATAACAACTACTTTCCCATCCTTTAATATAAAACAATGATGCTTTCCGTTCGATTTTATAATACAGTGTCTATTTAAATTCACAGGGGACTGGTACTTATGATTTTCTCTCTCAGCAGTGCGATTCACAGTTTGCTCAAAAGGTTTATAGTGAGCTCGTAGCGAGCGCTTTATTACTTGCATATTATTTTCGAAATCGAAAGCACTAAAAGAATCTAACGGGCCATGCTTTAAAGCGTCATCACTAATATGTATAAGAGAATGCATATTATATGATAAGAACTCTTCTTCATATAAATTGGGAACATTTTTAACAAACTTCAATAAAAGCTGTCGTGCATAATCGTTCCAATTATTTGCTTGCGCCTTGGTAGTTATAAGAATCGTGACTGCTACGCAAAGATTTAAAAAATGTGTATACTTTTTCGGCGACAATAATCCTTTTAAAGCGACGGGTCCTGTATAAAGAAGAAAAGTTCTAAACTCTGTCGCTTTCCACATATCTAACTCTTTTGCTGACCTCGGCTTACGACAAAATTCTTTAGGGCAACTATGCGAAAATAATACTAATTTACTTGATAAAGTTGAAATATCACGAGAAGATAATTTAAATGGCAATGGACCTTTTACCCAACTTCTTAATAGTTTTCTAACCACACCTAAGCAAATGAGGTGCATGTAGTCAAGAGGAACCGAAGAAATCATCAAAATTTTAAGCTCCGTAAACGGGGAAATGCCTACATGGTGGTGTTTATCTTTTTGAACATAAAAATCTTGATCTGTCCTAAGTGGACTATCGAATGTTCTGAAAATTACACGTCCCTTCCAGAAACCTGGATCTATACATTTCTCGCATCCATTGTATGCATTATGACTTTTACATTGCTTTAAAAAACTCCTGGCTGGCGCATCAGCTATTATTTTTGAAACCTTACAAAATATTTTCAAATTATTGTAACTAATCCCAACTCGCAAACTTTTTAACTCTGCTATCCAATCCATCAAGTATTCGTCAATACTTTCTGGTTTTGTCTTGCCATAAAATAAACCCACGACAAATACGCCGTACGTACTTTCTTCACACTTTGCTTGAATTGGCCAAAACTGGTTACTGTTACTCTTAGAAATGGGCAATCCATCAAAAATAAATATAAGGTTTAATTTAATTTCGCTACCAGAAGCAAGAATACAATTGGAATCTATTTGCCGTTTTATATTTTGAATAACATCAAAGTGTGCATATTGACCCTGACCGATAGTTTTCATAGAGTATTTAATTGAGTTTTTAAGCAATGGTTGAAATCTAAATTCTTGATAAAAGTTAAATATGCGTAGAAGATCGTTTAAAGCTACTCCCGTTATGTTATGTCGAAGCGACCAGTCCCTCAAGTCCCGTGTTAAATCTAAAATATTCCTATTATTTTCTACTACACCATTGTCGCTTAGTGAATCGGAAACTAATGGCTCGTTAATATTATGGATAACATTACTGCTTCTATCATTATTGCTAATATTACTACCTGAATCGCTATCCTCAACGACAGAGTCACATATATCTAAATTTACAAGATTATTACTAATAGCAGGTATGTTTTTTGCACGAGTGAGATTCTCTCTAACCCGTTTTGCAATTATTCGCCTAATGTTTCTCGGTGATTTTCCATCTCGATCCATGATTATGATGCAATTCCCGAGGGAGCGTCGTCGTTGCACCTACTTTTTGAAGAACGAAACCAATTCATTGCTGCAGTTTGAATTATATCATCGGTGGGAATACGGCCGCTGGGATTTTTGGGATCGGGAACGGACTCAACTGTAAAGACGTTTCGCACGGTTTCTGAAATTTGCAATCCAATTAAACATTAAATAGAGACCAACAATTAGAAAATTTTCTTCATTTTAGAATATATTTTAGCACCTTTTACGACTTCCAATAGTTTTAGGTTTTTCATCGATGTCTTGTTTCCTTTACCCGTAAAATTAATTCGCCTGCCAAATTCATTCGTAAATAATTTTTTAAAGATTTTTCTAGTGCTCGCCTCGATCTGTGTCGCAGTTGAAAATGCCAAATATTCAACCTAGTATCAAATATAAGAAAAAACATTAAGGTTTAATTATGCATGTAAAATATCTCGATTAAATCGTACCAGTAATTCGCGATTTGAATCCACCTCGAGCCAAGATTCAAACTCCGCCAGTGCTACCTCGTTGTCGAGGGGTAATTTTGGAATGGCACTGAAATTGGGAGCCTTCCTACCATCCGGCCTTTGTTTCACATTAATCAGTAAAGCCTTAAAGCCTTAACAAAGTTAGCACACTTTGCGTTGTCCCTGCAACGTGATTACAAAGCGTTAACATAATACATCAATTTTAATAAAATTATTTTGCTTGTACTAACTTGAAATCAACAGCCGTAAATCATTTAACTCCTGCGAATTTACAACAACAAAAGAGGTGTCTCCAGTTTCAACTTGATTTCCTACTTGTAGATTGCTTTGCTCTTCAGTTTCGGGAATTATTTCAGGAATGCTCAATGGTTGGTCTAAAAAGCATCACCATAATGATTAGTATAAAATATTTGTGGCAGTATTATAAGCCTACCCAGCTCCAAATTATCCAGAAGTGAGCCAGACGGAGGACTGTTTTTGTTCGCGTCGCTATCCTCCTCATCGGATGAAGACGTTACATCCCCTCGTGTGCTGCTGGGCTGAATATCGGGAATTATCTTCTTGCTCCTTAATCTGCTTTCTGGTTCTGTTTCACTTTCCAAGTTGGAAGTGTCCTCGGCTACTTGAAGTTTTTTTGTCGCAACTTCATAATCATCTAAAATAATGATATTTGTTAGTAAATGTAAAATAATTGGAATGACTTCTCATAATTTGAATTAAATAGCTATTTACCGTAATTCCCAATAATCCTGGCGTAGCTAACTCTTCCCCACTTGACATCAGGAATAGCAGTGCCGTTTTTTATCAAATTTCTAATACTTGGCCCAGAGTTTGGTGGCCAGAGACAAACTTTCTCTGCGGGGATAACCCAGTGACTTGGAACAAGCTCCACAGGCACTGAATTGTATTTATCAGGGGGGAATTCAATTATGTAATATTTTTTTGGCGACATTGAGACAACAGATAAATTAACAGGGAATTAAATTAACAGGGAATTTACGAGACTGCGAGGGTGGGAGAGAAAAGGAAATACCACGCTTCTCTTAGATTCAAACTCTCGCCGCGTTGCCTGTCTCTTCGCACCCACCATTCATTGCGTATAAATTGCATGATTTTAACGCCTCATGTAATGTGGGTATTGACGAGATATTGGTGCGGTATTTTTACGCAATATCTCAGCACGTTTGGGTGCAATAATTTTTCAACCATAGGTTACAGTTTTTTAATGCAAATTTAGCGTGTCTCACGGTGCACACCAAACTTACCACAAAATTTATGCAATAATCACGCCTTTTTTTGTTTGTTAAAAATTTTCACCATGGATGCGTTACTTTGACGCAAAAGTAATAATTTTTGTTGATCGGGTTAGCAATGTCTAAATAATGCTTAGCAATGTCAAACTAAATTGCCTAACATTATTTATAAAATTTCTTAACAACGTTAAAACCTCCGTAGCAACGTTCAAAAATCCTTATTAGGCATAATATAATTTCCTCCCGTCTTTAAAACGGGTTTATATGCTAGTATTTCAAATAATTTTATATAAATTAAAATACTTTTGAAAATTTGACTGTATAAATATTTAATAAATAAACTCATCATTAATTTAGGCTGGAAATATGTAAGCCTTACTGTCCTTGAAGGCACCATGACTTCATGTCTGCCAATAAGGGTAGGTATGGTGCAAGATCGGGCTCCTTAGTTCGGAATCGGAATGAATTCCCTCCATTGTCAGGTTCCGTGTAGAGTGTGAGTTCCTGCACGTAAGCGGATGCAAAATATAGGCACGGAAGTAATAAAATAGTCGGAGGAACATTTTGCCACGGATTAAAATTGAATGATGAATTTAGCCAGGTGTTGTTCAGTTTTATATAACGGGCTGGCTCATACATATTGCGAAATCTAAATACGTCTTGTTAAATAATATTACGCAATGGTCGTACTCAATTTCAAGTGGTGTAATTGTATCTGATATAATTTAATTAATTTGTTTAAATTTGAGAAGTACACAGATATGGTTATTCAATATTGATAAGCAAGTTTAATTTGTATACGAATACAGAGCGTTATTTTTTGTATAGACCCGGGTATACACCTTAATATATTGAGCGTATCACGCGTCGGTGAATTTTTTGGGTGTTTTCTACTTGTTCCCCATCCGATTCCGATATAGAGAGTATTTATCGTTTCCAAGATTCGAAAACTTTAAGACACATTTGAAGGGTAGCCTTGGACCACTACACGTCCAAGGCTTTGCACACTCTGTCTGGAGAAGTTGCAAGACGCTTGAGCCGAGCTTGCTTTAGAGTCCCAAATCCAAAAAAATCGGTGACGTCACCGGTGACTGTAGCTTAGCACACATGATGGGTGACTAACTATCGAGCATCGGGGTAAGGTGATCTACGGGGTAAGGTGAGACTTTGATATGTTTCTAATTTACTAGCCATAGAACAGATTACTTTATAAAATTTCCCTTTTATACTAAGCTAAACCCTTGAAAAAACTCATTTTCGATAGTATCGAAATTACAAAGTTTAAAAATTTATATTTTTCGCCTGGGTAATGACTGGGCTGAATTTTTGCTATGCCGCGGTAGTACACATACATAGCTGTAAGAAACGGTAACTAACTCGGCTGGGTAGCCACCCCCCACCGAGCACCGCCCCCTCAAAGTCGCCTCAAAACGCTGTTTTTTGGTACATCGGCTGCTGTAACTCAGCCAGATTAACTCGTAAATTCACCAAAATTGGGAATTAATATCAGCATTAGTTGCTGATTCGAAAAATATCAAAATTTCCCGGCCACACCCACTTTGGGGGTGTGCTCAAAAAAGTGGGTGTGGCTCAAAAAAATTTCAGGGAAACATTTTCTAGGTCCTACTGACCTTAAATATATTTATTTTGAAGGTCCCAGACCTCCAGGGAATTTTGGCCGCCTCATCAGCTTTTCAACACACTGTGTAATGGCGAAAAAGTCGGCGGAGGAAAATTTAATCTTCGTGGTAGTGGAATTTGACCACGACAATTCTGTTGGTGTAGTTCACGATGATGGATTAAGAAAATTAGTTCTGCACTATACACCTACTGGCCGCCCTTCTGGAAGGACAACAGGAAATTGCGTAATATCAGGTGATCTATGCCGTCAAAGTCGTAAAAAAATATGGTAGGTGATTGATTATTTTAAATTAAAACTTTAAATAGTAACGTCGTCTTACTTGATAATATGAATAACTGATAATTTTATTTTTCGTTTCAGCGCTTTACGAACAACCAGTAAAATTCCACCGCTCTTGGTTAAGCTAAACATCTACGGAAACAGTACACTCGTCCCAGTTTGCAAGGAAATGTTTGACAATCTATGTCAACAAACATCAACAACTGCCAGACCGTCCATTTTGAATTGATTTATGTCGTTGATCTATATATGTACTTCCTTCTATGAATTTGGACCTTACAAAAGCATTCTTCCGCACTCTCTTTTCTTCTACTATACTAACAATTCGACTTTAATCAAATAAAACACATGATGCATACATTGGTGATGATCTGCATTTATTGTGCATGAAATTTCAATTCATCCCATCATACACTGCACGACAATCGGTTTATCTCTCTCTATGAAATAATGCAAGGTCTTACCTTAGTTAAATAGGCTGGGGAAAATTGGATGGGGAAAATTGTTCGTTTCAATTACAAAATACATGTAAGCTCCGCAGTGGGGAAAATAGAAAAAATGGGGAAAACAGTGAATGCGGCAAAACGAATCTTGTCTGTCATGCATTTGATTTTTAATGAAATGAATTAAGAATGAATCAATTAATCCGTACAGGAAATTATTTATATTACGCTTAATAAAGAATTTTTTTAACGTTGCTAGGGTCACCTCACAGGATTCATCAAAATCACAAATTGTTCCAATGAAAAGGGACATTCTTCCGCTACACGAACATATAAAAGTTTCCAATTTGGAGCAGCAAAACTTTTGTCGTTATTTGGAGTCAAATAAATAAAGGCCTTCCTTGGATTTTGTTAGGAATATGAAAATAATTAGAAAAACCAGCACATCAGGAAACATATTGAATTTCTTTATTTTTAAACACATTTACGTGTATGTTTTTGATTTAAGGAAGGTTCCCACATTGACAATTTCAATTTAATTTGTTCTTCGAGTAGGCTACATGTAATGTATGACCCGTGTCGGCGTAACAGTGGTCAACTGTTTCTCCTTTTTCCACAGAGAGGGCCCATCCTCGAAGTAATATCTATCATAGATTTCTCCTGCTCGCCCGGAGTCTATCACTTGCATGATTCTAAGAAAAAGGTCGCACTGTTAGATAATTGTATAGTAGACTAAATCCTGCGACATAAATATCTACAGCTCTGGGTAGCGCATGGGTTTGAAAAGAAAATTCATGGGACAAGGGAAGTCTGTTCTTTGTTTGCTTGTTACAACGGCAACTTTGAATTCAACACATAAATACGTTGCAAAAAGCAGTAAAAACACAGAAATACATGAACTTCGTTACTCAAAAACAATTTGTAGGATGTGATCTCTGGTCTCTCACCTCTCCTGCAACTCTTCAACGCGATATCGGTCAACGGACTTGGGAAACGCGATCCCTAAATCAACTTTGCTTCTACGCTTTCCCACGAATATATGAGAAAAATGGACGGCTGCCTTAACGTCTTCCGATAAGGTGGGTTCATTGAAAATGGCAATTCCAAGATCAGTTTTCTGAAATGCACAAATTTCAGTTATCTTCTTCAGCACTTTTTGAAAAATATTCATATGTATTAGTGGGACTCTCACAAATGTAGTGTAGGGTCAGTATGGGTTAGTGTGGACATTTTTTAAACAAAAATACAAGCGTTTAACAATGTTGCCAATTCGTCATTTAAAATTGACCAAACTTGTAAAAGTAATTTGGGTAAATTTAGTTGAAACAAGTACTCATCATACATTTCCAGCGAGATTATCCATGATCGAGTTTTTTGTCCAAGTTCCGGATTTTAGCTGTCCAACTGACTTAACCTCCGTTATTGTGCAATTGTCCAAAAACTCTCCGTCTTCGTCCGCACTGCGCAAGAGGTCGAACAAGATTCCCGAATAACAGGGACTGTGGCGGCAGGACTTGGCAACCGCCTTCTTGGAGGAGAGGCACGACGCGTTGGAAATCACCCAGGGTTGGTCCTGCCAGGTGTGGTCATATTAAAAAAATTTATACATGACTTGTAATATTCGTTAAATGTAATGGGGAAATTGAAATATGTATCTTGACCAATGCCAGTGGTATTATTTAAATGACGTTAGAAATTTTGAAGTTTGAAGTGCTCAATAGTAAAGTTTAGTGAATTGTGTTTTTCTGGACGAAACCTCAATCCCAAATCGTCACACATCCGCGACATCTGCATCTAGTCCAGTGTGTACTGATGTAAGTTCATAACCAAATGCTTTGGAATGTGCTTCACTTTTGAAGAGCCGTTTTTAACGAAATTCATGTGAAATGTCATTATTTATAGGGTTGATTAATACTGACAGGTACGTACTTCAATGGTAGAAATCCGTCTTATTTGCACTATATCTGCAAACAGTAAAGTCAGATCATTTATTAACTTGTCGAAAAACAAATTGTGCATCCACACACACCTCGACATTGGAGTTCATCTCGAGTAATCACATGGGCTTGGTTGGGCCAACATTGGCAAACCGCTTGAAAACAAGACATGCGACGGAGTTGACAATTTGCTGTGGTGTTTCAAGGAGCCAAGTAGTCGGGATGAAGTCGCACTGGTGAGTACATTAAATAATTAAAGGTGTATAATTTAAACCATAAAGCGTGGATGGTTTTTTTCTAATCAATTTATCAGAATTTTAATTTTTTGTAGTTTCTACAGCACAGTATATACAGATTTTGTAGTAGTGCATGTACTTACACGCAATATCGATGTTACGCTAAATAAATAAACATAATGAAAGCTTACTCAAGAATACTGTGGACATATTGCAATCATTCGTTGCGTTATAGCAAACTTTGCTCATCGTTGAATAAGTTTTTTATTACATTTGTGTAGAGGGTACAGGCATAGTTAGTAAGGGACAGACATGAGACCTTTATAGCTTATGTTGGGAAGTGTTGTTGTTGTTTTGATTTATCTACGTTTTGACATATTATCACAATGTACTCATGTTTGTCGTCCAGGACAAATTCCGTCCAGTAACGACCTACTGACATCTTATTCTTGGAAACCATCCGTATGTGCTTGTCCACGAAACAAGTCCGGTGATCGACTCGTTGCCAGAGTAGCATCCCAGAGGTTTAAAAAAACCGTCACTGCCGGCATATCCTTGAATATCGCAACACAGCTGGGGTGATGTGAGGTAGTGTCCCGGCATAATTTCGTATTTCATTAAGCCGTCAAATATTGGAACGCCCTGCGCAGCCTGACAAGCCGTGTACAGATTAGTTTGTGCGTAGCAAGCATTTCCTTGCACCCATGTGATTGTTGCAAACCAAAAGATGCACATCACAACCACGGCGCTATGCCAACTGACCCCGGTGTCCGTGTCATGGTAAGGTTTACGTTCTGTAAAAATTAATAGCAGATTTTTAAATTTCACACTGAAATGTGTTTAATTCATGCTAAATAGTATAATTGAATATGACTGTTATGTGCAATTTTTTTTCTGAAATCCGTTTCTTTCTTGCTTTGAAATTTGCTCGGTTATCCGCAGAACGACTTAAATTTTCATCCTTCTCCGTCCATCCTTTTATACTTGAATGGTACACAGACTAATTTTATTATTTAAGCTAGCTATATAATTAGTGTAAACAATGGAAATGCGACAAAACTTGTTATTTACTTAGGAATACACGGTCGGCAAAACAAAAGAAGTTTGCAAATTTCCTGTGAAGGTAATTTATTGCTAAATTAAGTATTTGTCAATTGAAAATACTTAAATATTTTTATGTTGGAACTAATCCAATCTGGTTATTTGTTGGGTGTACATAGATATGTTTTAGGCTACAAGGTTCTGTTAATTGGTCGTTAGTGCTTGATAAAGATATTGCAATGTTCCTCATTTGCGTTCCCTGTGGAAGTAGGTGGAAATAGGTAATTCCAATTGTGCTGGCTGCAACAATTCTCTTGGCTCTCTTACTCTGGACAACTTGACGGCGTATTTTGTCGATACTGTTTTCTGTTCGCAAACAAGTCAAGCTCAGGTGCAACTGGTGGTCAAGTTCTTGGGAAACTTGTAGCTGATCCGTACCGAAAATGGAAAAACGCATTGAAAAACTTTAGGAAGCATGAAAAACTTGATTATCACGTTGCAAGTTTGTCAGCTGCCGCAAATTTCTTAGAAATTCAAAAGGGGAAGACATTTCCAATTACAGCAAGTCTCAACAACGCTGCTGAACAAGAATTACAGCGAGGAAAATTGATTTTGGAGCCAATAATTAAGACTCTTCTACTTTGCGGCAGACAAGGTTTGGCCCTGAGAAGGCACAAGGACAGCGGAAATCTATCGCTCGAACAACCCGAAGAAAATGATGGAAATTTTCATGCCCTTTTGCGCATGCGCATTGAAAGCGGAGATGAAAATCTGAGAAATCACATTGAGACATCACCACAAAATGTGGCCTATTTGAGCCCAGATATTCAGAACGAAATTTTTAATTTATTAAGCCTCCAGATTCAAGGCAGAATAGTAAACGAAATTAATTCTGCAAAATGTTCCAGCGTAATCGCAGATGAGACTACGGACGTGGCCGGAATCCAGCAGATGTCGTTATGTGCTAGATATGTGACCTGTTACGAGAATCGCCATATCATCAAAAAATACTTCCTCGGTTTTTCACCAGTAGAATCAGGTACTGGGGAGGCAATCGCCGTCAAGATTAAAAGCTAGTTACAAAGGCTAGGGATCCATACGATGAATTTGCATGGGCAAGGGTACGACGGATGTAGTGCAATGAAAGGAAGCGTCAAAGAAGTGCAAGCTAAGACGAAAGAATTAATTAGCCCCAAGGCGTTATACGTACATTGTAATAGCCACAGTTTAAATCTTGCCCTTACCGATGCCTGCAAGATTTCGGACATACGAAACACGTTCCAATCACTCAAAGAGGTAATAAAATTCGTTCGTGCTTCCCCGAAACGAATCTCAGCTCTAAAAACCTACAGTGCAGACTTCATATAGCCCGAGTCAGGGTTTGTACAGTACTTCATCGGCAAATATGGTTATCTTGCATTAAATTTGTCTTATAGAATGCATATTTCTAGTTTACACATACCATTGACAACAACCATACCAAGTTTTAACTGAATTATTAAATGATAATAACCGGTATGGATTATCCTATTAAAGATCTTGGATTTTGAAAAGTTTACAAATTTCAGTTAACATTCTTTGATTAGAAGCCATTATTCACCTTCATGCAAAATTTTATCTCGATCGGATTATTTTCAAAAATCGGTATGGGTCACCACATATGGTCCCTCCAAATTTTTTTTTCTAATTTCACTTCATATTCTATCATTAGAACCCATTAACAACTTCTGTACCAAATTTCAGCTTAAATGGACAATTTTGATAAATCGGTATGGGTCACCCTACAGGATCCCCCAGAAATAATATTTTTCCAAATTCACTTCATATTCATCCATTGAGAGTCATTAACTACCTCCATGCCAAATTTCATCTCGATTGGATGACTTCTCAAAATCGGTATGGGTCACCCTACAGGGTCCCTCTAGATGAAAAATTTCCCAATTTAACTTCGTATTCTTTCATTAGAAACCATTACCAACCTCTGTACCAAATTTCAGCTGTCTGTGACAATTTTGAGATTTTGGTGTATAAGACCCCCACCACCCATTTGACCCCCACCGGCCAACCAGTGGACCGATTTGGCTCATCTTCGAACTCGATTCCTAACTTCGGCCAATATGCATATGGTGAAAATTTCAAGTCGATAGGATAAGTTTAAAGAGAGTTATCGCTCGGACAGACGGACGGACAGACGGACATGACGGTTCCATAAGCCCTGACTCGGGCTAAAAAAATATTACTGAAGAAAACCCGACAAACAGCAAGAGTAAAAAACTGCTCTCGTTTTGTGAAACCCGATTTGTTGAGAGGCATTCGTCAGTTCTAAGATTTGTTGAACTTTACGACGCAATAGTGGACCTTCTGGAAATATTAGAAAGCGACGGAGATAACAATACTTCAAAAAAATCACATCAGCTGTAAATTTGCATCACAAGTCTGCGATTTGCTGTATCGATGTACGTAATCGAAAACGTCCTCCCCATAACTATTTCCCTGTCCCGACAGCTTCAGATTCCTGATCTGGATTTATTGTCCTGCCTTGAAATGGCGGAAGATATCTTGCTACTCTTAGGAGGGGAGGCCCTCTATATGCAATTAAGGACCATGGATGCCCTTTGGATATTTGATAGCTCTAGGTGAATGGTGGATAACCCTAGAGTGGTTAGATGCCATGGCCCCATTTGCGCCCGCCACACCCCCTGAAAGATGCAAAAAATGCGAAAAAACGCCTGTTTTCATGTGCTAAAACAGTCGTCAAAAATCCAATTTTGCTCTAAATTTGATAATTTTAGCATATTATTGGTCCTAGATAGTTGCTCTATCATATCCAATGGCAATCTCAACTTTTTTGAAATCTTCGAATTTTCAAGCCATACCCCTGCTCAGGAATCATTCGAAAATTTACGAAATTTCAAAAAAGTTGAGATTGCTATTGGATATGATAGAGAAACTATCTAGGACCAATAATATGCTAAAATTATCAAATTTAGAGCAAAATTGGATTTTTGACGACTGTTTTAGCACATGAAAACAGGCGTTTTTTCGCATTTTTTGCATCTTTCAGGGGGTGTGGCGGGCGCAAATGGGGCCATGGCATCTAACCACTCTAGGGTTATCCACCATTCACCTAGAGCTATCAAATATCCAAAGGGCATCCATGGTCCTTAATTGCATATAGAGGGCCTCCCCTCCTTAGTTAATATGCAACTAAATTCGACAACAGAATTTTCTGAGATTTGGAAAGTTGCTGAGACCACATGCGCCAAACAGTCTGTCCCATTCGCTCTCCCTAGGTGGGTCAAAATTAAATCAAAGAAAAATGCGGAAAATAATGGATACCAAATGGACGCTGAAACATTTTACCGGTAGACAATTTTTGAACCATTTCTGGAGAGTGTAGTTGAATCTATTACTTTAAGATTCCGAAAAAATAAAAATATACTGACTCAATTACAAAGCGTGGTGCCAATCTACATGACCTCCAAAAATTTCGGAAGTGAGTTGTATGAGTTTCTTCAGGATCAGCTAGCTGACGGAGAAGAAGTGGTTAAGTCAGAAATTAAGCTGTGGCAAACACAATGGGATGCAGTGGACATTCGCGAAAAACCAAAGAATGCGCTTGAAGCACTTGAAAAATGTGATCAAATGTTTTTCCCAAATGTAAACTACTTCTGAAAGTTCTGGCCACATTACCGGTCACCTCATGTTCATCTGAACGTTCTTTCTCAAACCTTAGGAAGATTAAAAACTACCTACGGAACACAATTAGCGAGGAAAGGTCAACAAGTTTAGCCGATCTTTATGTTCACCGTAATTACCAAGTGGACGTGAATTTCATAATTGAAAAGTTTATTAGTATTAAGCAGCGTCGGATGTTATCTTAAATTCGACTGGTGTGAAACCAAAGAGATTATTTGTGCAACTAGTTTTTGACATAAAATAAAGTAACCGATTGTACTTTTGTACTAATTTTTATGAAGTTCTTATAATACATTTAATGTAAAATGTATGACTTTAATAATTAAAGTTTAATTTATAATTATCCTGAAATGAATTTGTTTATCGCCACATGCTTTACATGGAATGAAATACTATTCATATTTATAATTTATTGAGCCCTCCCCAGAGTTAAATGCTGGCTACGCGGCTGACCAGCGTATAAATACTTCACAATTCTTCTGCGACCGATTTATTCAACGAAACTCGAAATTATAAATTAGCAGGAAATAAGACAAAAAATTTAATCTGAGACGAAATGATTTTCAAAATTCGGCTGTGTCTAATCCACTTGGCTGTGATGGCGTGGTAAATTTTTAATTTGAATTATCTTATGGAAATCTTAACAATTATGGGGACCTGGTGTTTTCTTTAATTTATAGTGCTGTTTCTACATTTTCCTTAACGAAAGGTAACCATTACCAGGGGAAAGATTTTACTGCTGGTAAAGGTTTTGACATAAGTGGAGTAAGGGGTCGATTAAGTGTGAATTATTTCCAAAGGGTAAGATAATTAAGTAGCGATATTGTTTTTGGGTGGATTATTTAAATTAAATGGTATATTATTTTTATACTAAAAATAATCCGGTAGTAAAATATCTTACATGGGTGACTATGTACCGGTAATTTTGTCATCATTTGTGGTAAATTAGTTTTCAGCTCGAAAAGAATTGTTAGTATTTGGCCTTAGTGTGGTAATAAATTTCTTATGTACCGGTTACTGGTTAAAATTTTATAACGACGGCAAAGTAAAATACATGTTTTTTCCTTTATATACGTAGAATGGTGATGGTGCGGACAATTTTAGAAGTCTGGCGGAATCATCAACTAACTTTATTCAGGCGAAGGCAGCCCGCGGATTTCAAAGTCTATCCAAGATAATGCCAATTAGTGAGCCTAAGAAAGAACATGCTTATTTTGGAAAAGATGGTGGTCTAGGTCCTTTGCCTCAGTATTTGGGATAGCTAGATGTATCAATAAATTTTGTTTTTTGTACTAATTTGTAGCTTCAAAGTAAGGAATAAAATTCAGGTTAGAAATTCGTGAATTGTATAGCCTATTAAATTTTTGTATATGTAGATAAATTAGAATTGGATTGGTTTAATATTTTTTTAAAATTAAGGTTCACTTAATGTTTTTTTGTAATGATTGAAATTAGTAAAATTACTAATCCTAAGTTTTACTGCCTCAAATAACACATAATCAAGTTTGAATTTTTGAAATAAGGAAAATCACAAGCTTCATACTGTAAATCTTACATAAGCTAACATATTAAAAGGGTGTTTATATAAATGGATAGCTTGCACAAGAAACTAAATTTGGAGGATTGGTTAAAAAATTGTCGACCATTTAGTAGGCAAAATATGTCTACGAAATATTGTAATTATAAAGTATAAAGGTAGTACTGCACATTTTACTGTATAATTAGTCTTACAAATTTTGAAATACTTAATGATAATTTGTTGTGTCAATTGAATATCTCAACCATCCCGAATAAAACTTTTCTGGGCATCTCCTTATCTTGGTAATTTCAACATTAGTATGTTTAATTCTATACAATTCACCGGGAAATCTGCGAATTTATGAGAAACAAACCCTGGTGTTATTTCTGCTCAGAGGTAGTAATCAATACCGTACATATTATTTAAGGAAGCTAAATAGAATATTCACTTGCTGGGGCACAGTTTGCGTAATTATTATAAAAAGATGCATATCTAAACAATGCCGACCGTTCGTGCAAGCTTTTAAAACGATTTCATAACTTATTCGTGAGTGGATATTCGTAGGAATTACATACCCAATCGAGCTTATTTTAGTCGACCTATTAACGACTTTGTTTTATAAAATATCTGAGGCTCGAACATGTTGAGCTTTACCGCGCTCCTGAAAATTTTTAGTAAATTTTGTTGCTTAGAAGTTATCAATTTTAGCAACATTTTTCAACCCAGTTGGGAACAATCTTTCCAACTCCCAGCTTTTAGGACATACCTTAGTAATAACTTAACCTTCCCACTAGTTTCTAATCGTATACTAACAAGAAATATTCGCATTTGCAATTCATGTTCTGGGCAAATGTATAAC